ATCAAGATCACCATCTCTTGCTTGGCAAGAAATGTACATTCGTGAGAACAGCGCCACATTACTTTTCATCTTCGCCTGAGACTTTCCATGTGTGTTCTTGGGCTTCGATTTGAACAGTGGCAGATTGTTCTTTGAAATGGTATCATAGAAATTGACGGAAGGATCCTTGATTCGCTGCTCCACAAATCTGTCATATCGTGTTTTGCCAGTGTCCTCCACGGATCGCACTGTGGCTATTACTTCATCAGGCATGATGACTTTGGTGTCAAGCACATACAGGTCTTTACTGTCTTCCGCGAACGGGTTTTCCAGTTTTTCAAATGAACTGATTGTATTATTGAGATCTGACGCAAACGATTTCTGGACACTAAACAATTGTTCGTGGTGGCGGACATCAGTTTGCCACTGTCTTTGAAACTGTCTTTGTCACTCAGGATTCTGGCTATTTCTGCACCAGCCACCATCCACCGGCGAAGAGCCCCTTCATTCTCGGTAATTCCAATAACTCCACCATCACCTTTCACTATAGCGTTCTGCTGTTCGTGTATCTGATCGTGTGCCAAAGCAGAAAACTTGTGTGATGACTTCTGAGTGACAAAGTTCACCTTGACAAATTCACGATGGATATCCACGGAATCGTTTGGAAGTTCCTGAAGGTCCATTACATGCACTGTCCACCATCTGGCATAATGGTAATGGTCCATGGCAAACATCCACGGAATGATCGCCGTAAGGGTCTCCACATACAGCGTGTAGTTGGCCTCCCGTTGTGATCTTATGAATGCCAAGTGAATCTTATGCTTGCGTACTGTATGTGTGTGTGAGTGTGTGCGTGTGTGTGTGCGCGTGCGTGTGTGCGCGCGTATGTGTGTGCGTGTGTGCGTGTATGTGTGTGTGCGCGAGCGTGTGTGTGCGTGTGTGTGCGCGCGTGTGTGTAGTAGATAGTATTGTTCAACATTTCGTCATGTCGGCCATACTGGAATTTAAGATGGCTGCCATATGGTTTGACAGACATGTCAAATCAATCCATTATTGAAGTCAGCATGTCAAAATGCTCTTGTGTACCAAATTTCAGCGCCGCAAGTCATTTAGAACCCAAGATAGTAATGTTCAATGTTTCTCGTCATGGTGGCCATTTTGGAATTAAAAATGCCTGCCATATGGTTTGACAGACATGTCAAATCA